GTAGACTTGCCTGTTTGTAGACACTGCTTCTCCCTCCCTCTGTGGCCCCACTGCATACAGTTTTCATCTTTGACTGCTTCAGTCTCCTAGAGTTTCTTCTTCCATCGATCACTAAGAAAGCCGATTGTAGGGCTGGAGAGCTGTTCAGCGATTAAGAGCACTGAGAGTTCCTGAAGAGGACCTGGGCTCAATTCCCTGCACCCACGTGGCAGCTAACAACCATTTGTAACTCCGGTTCCAAGGGAATCCAACACTCTCTTCTGACCTCCATGAACATCGCAGGATAAAGGTGCACTTACACATAAGCAGGCACTACACTCATACATAAAACAAAAATTATAAAGTATTTTTTGAAAGAAAGCCTGAAGGGTATATGAATTGTTCCCATAGCTTGCTTTCTTGACCCAATCTTGCTCCTGCTCCACAGAGGCTCTGCTGGCACGTCTCCATGGCTACTTTTAATACAAACTCTTCGTAGTGCGCTTCCAAGGCACTTTCCATTGTTGGCCTCTTAATCTTATGTTTCTATTGTCTATTTAGAGGAAATAAGCCTTTTTTAAAAAACCTTGTTCTTCCACAGACCCTCCTCATTAACAAAACTCCCCCAGTTCCTGCTTGCTCCAAGCTCCATTCCTCCCTTTGCATTTCCTGGCTTGGTTGCTAACACATAGAGCATTGTCACCTCAACAGTTCCCTGGACTGAACACTTGAAGGTCATGTTTCTATCCCACCCTGTTCAATGTGTCCCATAACCACATTGATCCGGCCTCCAGGGTGGCATTCTTTTTCCATTTTCTGTGTTTTGGTTTTTGGTAGGGTCTCATTAACATAGTCCAGGCTGGTTTTGAACTCTCAGTAATCCTGCCTCGGCTTCTCAAGTGCTGGGATTACAAGGACGCGCCACTGTGCCTGGCTTCCTTTTCGTTACTTCCCACTTTGAACGTTGCCAGGACATCCCGAGGAATCTCTCTGCCTTCAGACATCCCCATGTTGTTTCCTCTTCTTTCAAAACTTCAACTGGCTATCTCTTGCACACAAGAAAGAAACAGGTTATATTCTTGGGACTTAAGGTTCCTGAATAGTCTGGAATCAAACTGATATCTTCCCTACCTCTTCTCCACTACTTTCCCATGAAACAAGTGATCAGAATTAATCTCCCATTTTCTCTCACTGCCCTTTGTTCAGGGCATCCACTTGTTTTTTGTTAGTTATTTGTGTTCACCTGTTTTCAGGGATGGAGTCTGCAGAGCTTTCAAGAGCTCTGCGCTTACCACAGCTCCTACCTGCATTGCGTTAAGCCAGGCACAGATGTGAATCAAAAGTAGTTGCAGAAAACCCTTCTTCTCTTCACACAGCCTTCAATTCAGAGATGGTCCTTGGCAAAGCCAGGAGGAAGGGCTTCTGGAACTCGCTGTTTTTCGCCCTGGGATGCTCAGAGTCCCCATGTCCACTCCTGTCCACCCATGCTTCTTGCTGGTGCACTTTCTGAGCAACTTCAATTCCCATACCCAGATCTTCCTGTCTCTTCTGAAATCCTAAATATCCTTGGATTGACCTTACATTCCAGTCTTTTCATTTTACAGATCAAGAAAATGAGGCCCAGCTGGGGCTACAGGGAGACCCTGTCTCAAAAAGACCAAAAAAAGAAAAATGAGGCCCAGAAAGGCGACATGCGTTGCCCAGTAGATTATAAAACTACTGAGTGGCAGAGCTGAGACAGACCTGAGGTCTCCTGACTCCAAGTGTGTCGCTCTTTCAGTCTCACTTTGCTTCCAGTCCTGCAGCTCAACCTCTTTGGCCTCAAACTGCTGTTAAGGATTGGTGAAGGCCTGCTGTGAACGAGCCTTAAGGATCTCTGTCCTAACCAGAGTCCTGGGTGCTGTAGCTTACTGTAACAGACACCGGAGAAAGGTCGAGTTAGTACCTGGCACATCCTGTTTTATTTGAGTCAGCATTTTTTTATTTTCTTAGCTCTCAGTCTCAGACCTGGAGACACTGTCTATGCGGGGGATATGTATGGCCTGCACATTTCCCACACCCTTGCTTTCTGGCAACTGTGTGGTTAGTGGCACACACTCCTCCCACACTCCACAGAAACCATGGCAGCAGAACAGCACGGGATCCTCCTGCAGCTTTACAACTTCCTGGGGAAAGAGTTCAATTCATGAGTACATTGTCATTTCTGTGAAAGGCATCTAAACTTCTTAAAAACATTCATGAATGGAACTTTTCAACACCACTTCGAAGGAAGACAGAGACTTCACTTTTGAGACTGAGCCAACACAGTAATGAAATTCAGTGACTGCCACAGAGGCGAGATAGGAATACCTCAGGACAGAACAAAAGCCATCTGAACTAGCCAAGCGTGGCTATGTCCATAAAATGCATTTACCCAAGAAGGAACTTGAATAGTTTTCAAGTAATGATGTCGTATTCTTTCATAATGCTTCCATATGCTCTTTATTCATTGGCAAAGCTACAAATCTAAATTTAAATTATCTTAGTTTGGTATTGGTGCTGGATTTTTGGGAAAACCTTCTCAGAACTGGATTATTCTATGGAGTGATGCTCCAAAGAAGCAGTTTGTGTGTGTTTGTTTGTTTGTTGTTTGTTCGTTTTAAAGATGGTCCTGGGTTTGGTGGTATACACCTTTAATCCCAGCACTCTGGAGGCAGAGGTAGGTGGATCTCTGTGAGATCAAGTCCAGTCTGGTCTACACAGTGAGTTCCAGGCCAGCTGGGACTACAGGGAGCTCCTGTCTCAAAAAACTAAAAAGAGAAAAAAAAGCCCCCCAGAAAAGTCCACTCTGGCAGACAGCTGCCTTTATTATAGGTCCCTGGCAGCTGAAATGACCTTATAGTACCATCTATCTGATCCAACCCTTATTTTGTAGATGAATAACTGGTCCCTGGTAACCTGACAATATATAAATTGTCTTAAGTTGTGAAAGTCATTTCCCCTTACAAGTAGGAACTAAAGGAGTAAGATCCTGGGTACTCAGTTACACTTGCTTCATCATAGGGACCAAGTGTATACACGGGCCTGACAGAAACCAGGGCCCCAAGCCCCATCTATTTGCCTTTGACTTGTTTCTGCACCATTGCTCGTTGCATAAAAAAGGGGATGGCAAGTTTCCTTTGGGAAATGAGTGCCTATAGTTCTTTGTGCTAACACTAAAATAGTAGCTGTTTTTATACACCTTAGAAAGTAACTTAAGTGGGCTTCAAGAGCCTCCTCAGACACATCTAGAGTGATTTCTTCATTTAAAAGTTGAGATAATAGGGGTGAAGAGATGACTCGTCTGTGAAGAGCACTGGCTGCTCTTGCAGAGGACCCGCGTTCTCTCTGCATCCATATAAGGGCTAAGAACCATCTCTAACTCCAGTTCCAGGGGATCTGACGCCCTCTTCTGGCCTCCATGGATATTGTGTGCATGTGGTGCACTTACACACAGGCAAAACATTCACACATATAAAATTTTATAATTTTTAAAAATTGGGATAAAATGTAATTTCTAAGCCAGGCATGGTATAGCACACACATGTAATCCCAGCATGTGGAACACCGAGTTAAGAGTATTAAGGGTTTAAAGCTAATCTGGACTACATGGCTAAATCTTATGTCAGGGAAAAAAAAAAAAAAAGGACTTGGGGGCTGGAGAGATGGCTTGGCGATTAAGAGCACTTACTGCTCTTACAGAGAACTCAGCACCCACACGGCTGTTAACAGCCATGTGTAACTCCAGTTCCAGGATATCCGATGCCCTCTTCTGATCTCCATGGGCATTGCACAACAAAGATACAGGTGCACTCACATACATGCAGGCAATACATTCATATGCATAAAAAAATAATAAATAACATATTTTTTAAAGAAGACTGAAAATTGCATTTGTGACTGCTCAATTGGACAATGCATATGGAAAAGTACTTTAAATTCAAAGTGCTTTGGGAAAGATTCAGGCTAGTCTATTTATGTGTACACATTTCATTTATTCCTTCAGCAAATATGTATTAATTGTGTGAAAAGTCCCAGGTATGTAAGGATTTAAACAGATCCCCAGCCCTCCAGGAGTTTATAGTAACAGCGCTTCCCTGGTCCAAAGCCCAGTGAAAAACAACTGGGTCAGCCTCCCTGGTATGTTCTCCCCTGTTATGTTCTGGGCTCTTTGTATTTCTTTCCCCTCCTAACATTATCTCAATTTTAGTGAGTTAAGTAATTAATTGCTTCAGTTGGCCTATGTCATAGTCACTAGCTTTTTAGCTCCGTGGGAACCTGTTCTTCTATGTTCAGATACTCGGCGCCTAGAGTGGCTGGCACAGACAGGACTAACACATATTTGTGAAATGGATAAACGAATTTAAAATAAAATGGATGAGAAAAACACAGCATATAAAGCAGTCTAGTTCACATTAAATACACTAGGTTTGTATAGTGTCATTGCAATTTATAACATTGAAACCGAGCCTTTAGGTAGCTACTTTCCAGAGAGAAGTTAAGCTACTAGCTTCGAACTCGAGGTAATCCCCTTGCCACAGCCTTCTGAATGCTGGAAGTGCTGGGATTGCAAGTATGGACGTAGCTGGATGGGATGGATGGATGGACAGATGGATAGATAAGATAGGTAGATGGTTGATAGATAGATGACAGATAGATAGATGATAGATAGATAGATAGATAGGTTAGATAGATGATAGACATAGATCAAGTATATATATGTTGAGCCTATCCTTCCATATTTATAAAATATGAACCGCGCAGCTCCAACTCTATTATCTGTACGCAGGAGGACATCAATAAGATTCCCTGGGATACTCAAAGTTCCGCGCAAAACCCAATTTGATCATCCCCGGCTCAAGGCCAGAATAAACGACCCGACTCCCAGGGGCGGGACCTGAGGGCTGAAGCCGCCACGTCGGACGCGAAGGCCGCAGCGCCCCAGTCACGTGTCCCAAGGCCACGCCTTCCCGCGGCGCCCGCGCAGCCTGCGCATGCGCACCGCCCAGGGCTGCCTCTCCGGCGCGCTGACAACTTCCCGTGTGGCGTCCCCGCCCCCTGGGTCGCTGAGTCTTTCGGGGTTCGGTTCGCCGGTGGCCGCCGTGGGGAGAGGGGCGCTGGGCGTGGAGAGGGGAGGCGAGTCCCCGAGCGGGTCCCGGCAGTCATGGCCTGCGCCATCGTCCAGTTCTGCTCCTTCCAGGACCTGCAGGCCGCGCGCGACTTCCTGTTCCCGCAGCTGCGGGAGGAGACCCCCGGCGGCGCCCTGCGGAGGGACGCGAGTAAGTGTGGGCGCCGCGGTCCCCGAGGCCCGAAAGCCCCTCCCGCCTGCCGGCCGCGGCCCACCTTCCCGGTCGCCGTGGCCTCCCGCTCCGCGTCCTGTCCCCGCTGCCCGACTCCCTCCACCCTGCCGTCCCGGCCCTGCCTGTCTACCCCTCGCCGCCGCTGCCACCTGCTCGGGGTCGCGTTCTCCTCCCCAGTCCTTGCCAGATGTCAGCCCTCCACCTCGTCGGTCCTCCACCCCGTTTGTCCTCCTCCACCAGCCCCTGTCAGTCTTCCACCTCAGTCCTCCACCTTGTCAGCCCTCCACCTCTCAGACCTCTATCCCGTCAGTCCTCCACCCCATCAGCCCTCTACACCCTGGCAGTCCACCGCCCCCTCAGTCCTACACCCCCTGTCAGTCCTCCACCCCGTTTGTCCTCCACCTCCTGTCAGCTCTCCACCCCGTCAGCCTTCCACTCCTGTCAGTGTTCCACCTTGTTAGTCCTCCACCCTCTGTTACTCTTCCACCTCCTGTCAGCCCTCCACCCCATCAGTCCTCCACCCAGTGAATGTCCCGCATGTCCACCCTGCTCCATCCCTGGGACTGTGACCTTTGCCACCCCCTTCCAGAAATGTTTAGCACCCCCACCCTCTCGTTCATCCCCTTTCTCTCTTTCGTATTTAGAGAATAAATGGCTGATTGGCAAGTGAGGGACTTTTAGAGTGGTGAGAAAACTCCCAAACAAGAAAAATAACCTCTTAGGAAACAAACAAAAGTCCATAATAGGAACCAAAATTAGAGCGACATGGCTAAGAAAAGTTAATTTGCGTTTATTGGGGTGAGAAACCTTCCACCTGTTATTACCATCAAACAATGTTAATAAGCCCTTCTCAGGCAGTCAAATTCCCAAGGCTGGGTTAGGAAGTGATACAAACTTCCTTAGAGCTTATCATGTTTCTCCTTTGAGGACTGAGTTTTGTTTGTTAACAGGAGTACATTCTGCTTGGTGTCTAGTGTTGTCACTCTGCTACAGTACAGTGCTCATAGAAGAGCCACTAAAAAGTGCTTCCTTTTCAAAATGAGAAGATGTCACAGGGTACATCAAGCAGGAGGACCTCGAGTTCAAGACCAGCTTGGACTATCAGAAAGAAAATATTAGTAGCTATAAAATCAGAACTGTCTATGAGTGGTTACTGTGTGCCAATTGTTGGCGCTACACATCACTGAAGGTTGGTAATTTTTGTTTTATAGGAGCTATGATTCACTGGCAGAGACAGGTCTGTAGTTACCATACAAAGTGAAATTGTGTATGTGGATGCAGGTGTCCAAGGAGGCCAGAAGAGGGTGTCAGATCCGCTGGAACTGGAGTTATAGACAGCTGTGAGCTGTCAGCCATGGGTGCTGGGAATTGAACTCAGGCCCTCTGGAAGAACACCAAGCACTCAACCACTGAGCCACTCTCTAGGACCCCTGAAGCTCTTCTTTAAAGTGGTGACACTTGGGCCCACCTGTGAGGAAAGCTAGAGGAATGAGGGGAAACTGCAGCATGTGCAGAGGAGCAGGCCTGAAAAGCTCTGGTGTTTGGAGGACCTTGAAAAGCGGAGAGGCTGGAGGGAGGGAGTGCCGGGGAGAATGCAGAGATGAGCCTGGACCCCTAGCGGAGGTGCTGGATCCTGAGAAGCCTTATGAGAAGATCCTGTGCCTCTGAGAGGCTTTGGGCAGAGAAACTGCCAGATTTGTATTTAATGTAACAGAATTTGCTGGGTACCTGTCTTATACTCTGGAAGCAAGCAGTGTGGAGTCAGGAAGAGGAAGGCTGGCTGAGAGGCTGTTCAATAATCCAAGCAAGAAGTCCTCTGAGTGTGAACTAAGCTCTAGCAGGATTTGAGAGGGAAGGCTTAGACATTAAGAAGGCAGGGGCTCCACGGCCTTGGGAAGGTGATAGAAGTTGTAGCTGGCCAGTGAGAGGCACTTTAGAATGTCTGTAGCTTGGGCAAGTGTATATGTTGAGAGAATAAAGGCATTTGAACCTTTCATATTTTAATGTTTGTGGCATGTCCAAGTGAACAGGTCCAGTTACACGGTGGATAGAGAGGTCTAAAACTTGGTAGCAGGTCCAGAGTCAGGGCTGTTCATTTGGGCACCTGCCAGCAGAAGTTTCATCCAGCCTCTAAGGTTGTACAGGCAACTGAGTGTAGAAGGCATGACCATGGAGGAACATGGGCATCTAGGAATAGTTTAGCAGTTACCAAGGAAACTGAAAAGGAGCTACAGGGAGAGAAAGAGTAGAGGACACTAATATCCAGAAGCCGAAGGAGGCCTTGATGCAGCTGAGGAGTGATCAGCAGTTGTGCAAACGCAGCAGAGGTCAGATAAGATGAGGGGAACATGTCTGTTCTGTCCCATTGCCACTGGGATGGGCCACCATCTCTCAGCCTGGGCCATGGCACCAGTCTAGAAACAGATTTCCCAACTTCTACTCTGGACTCCTACTTAGTTTTCAATGATAGAGTGAGCTTCAAAGTCATAATTTCAATCACAATGCCTCATAATCCCAGGAACTCACATAAGGAAGGAGAGAACTGACTCCCACAAGTTGTCCTCTGACTCACACACGTTCTAGGACTTGTGCTTGTACATACACATACACACACACACACACACACACACACACACAAAATAAATATTTTTAAAACCAAAATTCCTACATGTGTTATAAGGCCCTCAGGGTCTGCTTCCTACCTCCCTACCTCTTATTTTTGAGACAGTCCCACTCTGTAGTCTAGGCTGGCCTGGAACTCACTGTGTACCCCAGGCTATCCTCGAACCTGCAATGATCCTTTTGCCTAAGCCTCCTGAGTGCTGGAATTACAGGCCTAAGTCACCACTCCTGACTTCCCTCCTTTGTAAACTTCAGACGCTTTTTAAACCAGCAAAGCCCATTGTATCCGAGGCCTTTGTTCTTGCTGCTGACTCTGCCTTTGTTGCACTTTGCAGATCTTTGCATGCTAGTCACATCTTATAGTGTCAGCTTGAATGTCAGATTACCCTAAAGTCTACAGCCACTGCGCAACTTATTCTTGGTCATCATGTGGGTTTTAGCAGTCTATACTGTCCAGTGTAGTAGCCTCTAGATTTTGCTTTTGAGCCCTTGAAAAGTGGCCTGTACAGCTTTACTTAATTTGAAGGAAATAGCCAAACATGGCTAATGACTGTGATATTTTTTGGTACAAGTATAAATGCTAAAAATCAGGCCTATGTAGATTAAATACTTGCCCAAAGTCACACAGTGAGCAGTAGGACCAGGAAGTTGGCTGAGTCCAGGCAGTTGGGAATATAATCAGCACTCTTGCTTCTAGGTGAATTTGGACTGTGTTTACAGGTTTATACCTATTTTGTTTGTTTGAGACAGTCTCCCTATACCCCTAGCTGGCCTCAAATTCACTGTGTAGACCAAGCTAGCCCACATCTCACAGAGATCCTTCCTTCTGCCTCTCCTTCCTGCGTGCTAGGATGAAAAGTGTGGGCTACTATGAACTACTGTGCCCATCTAAAAACTATATTTTAACCTATGTTAAAATGGTGCTTTAGTTTACAGATGAAAGTCAAAAGAATAGCTTGTTGTATCCATAGTTTACATGACGTTCTTAAAATGACTCTGCCTATGGATTTCTGTTAACATCTCTAGCCATCTTTACAAAGTGTCAAGTTTTACAAAGTGCTCTTTGTTCAGAAAACTCCAACCTAAACTTTTGCTACAGTGAATTTTTTTTTTTTGTCTTTTATGAGACAGGGTCTCCCTGTAGCCCCAGCTGGCCTGGAACTCACTAGGCCAGGCCTCCATCTCACAGAGATTGTCCTGCCTCTGCCTCCCAAGTTTTGGGACTAAAGGCATGCACCACCACACCCGACTTATAGTGAGATTTTTATAAAGTAAAAGTGAAGTTAGGGGCTAGTGGGAGCTCTCAGTGGCAGAATGCATATCTGGCAGGGTCCTGGCTTCAACCCCTAGCACAAAATGAAAACAAAGTGAGGTTAGCAGAGCCAGTAAGTAGGCCCTGACTCACACTGCTGACAGTGATCAGGTTCGCCCTTCTCTATTGGTATAAAGGGATTGTTTTACTGGGAAACAAAATTCTTGAGAGCATTTTTTTAAAAGGAGGTCAGAAATGTCCTTTGAATTTAGATCATTTTCCTTTGTACCATGTGAGTGTATGCCTCATATGTAAATTCCCCAGAAGGGAGAATTTTATCAGGTTAAGAAAATAGATGTTACCTTTTTTTAAATACATAAAATCTGCCGTGAAGGCTGCCACCTGACTGCCCGTACCCTACCTTACAGAAAGTAAAGCTTCATTACTGTGCTGTTCATTATGGTACCTTCTAGCCACATGTAGTTAAATTAGGTTTAAATGAATAGAAATTAAAAATAATTCTTTTCCTGTGCTAGTGGCCACATGAAGCCACTGGTGACCATACTTAGCTCAGATGTGGAATGCTTTCCTTATTACAGAAAGTTGTGTTGGAAAGTGCTCCCTTAATGAGAATTCTTCCAAACTTCTTGTGCTCCATCAGTCATTCAGCATACATTCATAAGCTTCTGGGAAGTCTGCTTTTAACTTCACATTACCTCATTTCTATATAGTGCAACTGGGGCTTACTTGGTTTTGAAGTATCTTTCCAAGCCTCTGTATAACTCCATGACAGTCTGCTACTTGTTGCATAATACTCCAGGAAACTCCACCAGATGTCCTCTGCTGATGAGTAGTAAGATTGTTCCTCACATTTTTGCTGTCAGAACAGTGCTGTAAGCATCCTTGGACATCTTGATCACAACTCCAGTTCCTTGTACATGTGTACTTGTCACCTTGCTGTGGACTGATTTGTTTTGCTTCTGGCCTTTGCTTTTCTGATAAGTGGAAAATGATTAATGTTACTGTACTGTGCTGAGGAACATTGATTTCTCCTCCGTCCAGTCACACCTCTTTACCCTTAACCCTGCTCTGTCCATACCCTGCC